AGTTAACACAAAAAGAAAGGTGGTCATGAAGAGATAAATCCAACTCAGACCACTCAGAAAAAGACTAGACAGAAAGCGACTCATCTCAGGTGTCCATGCATTATTTCACACAGTGGGCCACAGACCAGCGCACAGGGACACACACTGGCAGACGAAGCTGTGTCAGTGAGAGTTGTGTGTCTGTGGGTCAGACTCTCACCCTTTTAATGCTACTTCCAAAGCTGACAGTAAACAACTGTTAAAATGAACAGTGTTGATTTTCTTTTTTAACAAGCTCATCAGCTCGTGGATATCAATTTTTGCAAAATTGTCAGGTTAAATATTTGATAAAATATTTACCATCGAGTCCTTCACAGCCCCAGCCGTTTGTTGCAACATTCTTTTGTAATCGGCCATAGGCTTTACAGAGCGGTAACTCATTCACTCCTAATGAGAAAATGATGCACCATTAGGTTGTGACTGCTCTCATTTCACCCTGTAATTGGACCAGGACATGAGATGACTGAGTGTGGTTAAATGGCTTAGAAAAAGTTATTTTTACTTCATCATTGGCTCAGTGATTACCATCATTTACCATTCTGCCATACTGGCAATAAGATCCAAGATAAACCTCCTGACTCGGGATTCTTTAACTTTGTCCTAAACTTAAGATATGTTTAACAATGGAAATATATTCTTATAAAACTGTTAATATTTAGATTAAAAATGACCAATAGATCAGAGAGTGATATTATATTGAATTGAGGTCTTCATTTCAAAAAGTTTGTTATCCAGAATAAATCCAGATGGAGATAAGTGAGAGATTTACATGGATTTGCGTTGCTGAATTTCATCCTTTGACCTTTTCATAGGCTAGAATACTTAAATTCAGATGTGAGCTTTTTATTAAATACATGGCAGTTCAGGGGCTTAGTGGTACAGCTGTAGGATTTCTATCAGCCACTAAAATCCACTAGTTTCAATACCTAAATCTCTGGTTACCTTGCATCAAGAAGAGCTTCAGGTGTGAGAGAAGAAGTATGAAGACTAAAGAAGAGCAACATAAATAGTCTTTAGTACATTTAAAACAACGTTTTTCCCTGCGGTTTGATATTCACATAAAACAAGGGAAAAAAAGTGCTGCAATTTTTCTTTGTCTGTCCACATTCCATTAAAAGCAGCTGATAAAGACGTGGGGAAATAGAGTGAGACGAAGAATGAAGGAAACTTAATTGGGAGATAGAGGAAATGAAGGTGAGAGCAGAGGCAGAAAATAGATTGGTGTTGTACCAACCCTGGATCGGTGCATTTTTGCACACCTCTCTACGTGTGTGTGTTTGTCAGACACATCCCCGCCTACTTCCTCTTTCCCCTCCTGACATTCCACTTCCCGTCACAACCGCCTGGCGCTCTTAGATAAGGCCTTCCCGAACATTCCTTCTTCCTGTCGTCGCTCCCCAGTTTATCCAATAGCAGTCACGCCCGCGGTGATCAGTCCCACCGATAATGCTTATCCAGCAACTTAATAAATAGGTTCTGTCTTGTTTGCATCTCAATATGAACGGCCGATGGTGGGGAATAGGCTCCACTGCTGTTTCTGTGTGGAGAAAAGAACGAACCTGTCCAGAGGTTTCAGAGGACACATGGAGAAGTGACTGTTTCTCTGGTTGAAACCTCAGCTGGCAAAAATCAATACCATGTAACCTTTTGTGCTTGATGGATTTATTAAGGGTATGGGCTGTGTCTCTGCAACCGCCACCGAGCTTGTACTGAACTGTGCAGTGATTGTTAATACAGTCATTGTGAGGCCTGTACCACACCCTTCCTTCCTGCAGCAGGATCCTTGTCCTAACAGTTTCACTGAATTGTAAAGAGTTTTGATCTGGACTCATGGAGTAAGTTGTGTGTGCACGACTGTTTGTGCCTGAGTGCACAGGTGCCTGGAGACTGCAGTCAGATCCCCATTGTTCATTGTCCTAAGGGATGCTGGGTAATGCAGCTCATACAATCGCTAGATTTAGAAATTGGAGTCTATTACCAGGAAGAGAGAAAGGTATGAAGGTCTTTACTGGAGCTGAAGAACTGGATCAAACAGCAGCTACCTGTCTCAGTGAGAGAGGGGTGAAGAGAGTTACTACGTGAAAGCCTGTGCCTTTAAAGGCACCGTCAAGAAGATCATTATCGAGCAGGAAAAGGCAGCGGTGTCTTTTTCACCTGCAGGTGTAGGACAAACATTAAGTCCAGCAAATGTCTCAGCTGACATTTAACGTAAACTGATTAAAGTAAATTGTTCTGAATTAGTGTCAGTTTTTCTCAGATAGTGTAATGGAGATTGTATTGGTGTATTGAAAATTAAAGTGTTTCTAAATGTCATGAAAACAACAGACTTAATATAACATCCAGCCTCAGACCTGAGGATCAAGCAGACATTGCACGTTCATCTCCTAATATGAAATGGAAAATTATGAAAAAAATTGTTATTAAGTTTCGTCATTCATAAAAACATTTTAAACTAAGAAAAAATAAAAACTACACATATTTGCACTAAATCGCTTCACAAAAATAACCAAACACCAGACAAAGGCTAGAAGTAAATACCAACAGCTGTCATCAGTTTGGATGACTCTTTAAATCAGTAACAGTTCATTAAAATTAAAACTGAATAATATAACATCTACTTAATCTTCCTGCTAAATATATGAAAATAAATATATTAATTTGTGAACCACAGTATCGGTTATATGTTTTTCAGTCTAACTCTGTTATTGGGCCAGAATTATCCCAGTGTACTCATCATCCCACAGCAGGGATTATCACACATCAGATATTCATAATTCCTTCTCATATATTACATTAGAATTGTGATTGCATTACAGATTTGTTGTGGATTAAGACTTTAATTAGTTTTTTTTTAAATTTTGAGTCCTTCTTAGAGTCGAGTCATATTTGACAACTGAAAATAGAGTTTCACAATTTGTAACTCCAATACACGATGTTTCTCAGCTAAAACTAGGAGTGAGAGAAACAACAATTTACCAGTGCAACAATATTTGATTATTATAAAAGCAAAACTTTTATGTCAATAACCAGTTTGGTTGAACCAATTAGAGGGTACATAGTCGCCTAATCGTCACCAACTTCCAAGCCTCTTGCAGATTCCAGAGAATAACAATTGCCATCAAGCTCACAACCACTTCATCTTCTTCGCTAAAGCATGGTGCAATTTTCAGTTCCATTATGCAACATTTTATCGTGCTATTGTGTTCACTGAATAGTTATGACATTCTGTCTGCACAAAAGGAGTGCCACTGTTCATTTGTTTTAGCAAAACAATTCAGCAGTCACCAAAGGACGTGGCTAAATGCTCCATCTCTTGTATTTCTAAAGTACTAAAGATAATATTTGGTTGTGACATCACACATGGAAACTGCTTTTTTGTTTCTATTGACGTGTTGTTGTTGAGTCATAGGTTGTTCATAAACTACTTGAACTACATGGAAATGACACTGAATGAAATCATGAATTGATTTCAGTGTATCCCACAGGATTTTAGGAGACTGTGGGATGCATTCATTTTTAAGACAGGTGTTTGGAGCACTTTAACAACAGCAACATGTATTTTCCATCAAACCCTTGATAGACCTGACAGTTTTTAAGTTACAGTCAAAACAGATCATTTCAACATGTTTATTTTTGTGTTCTCTTCATGCCTGCTCTGTTTCACGAACAGTGAACACAGCCATCTCCTGTATTCAAAGTAGATCTTGTCATCTAATGATGACAGGTTGACAGCTAACTGGAGATTGATGTGATCCGATAACTCTGTGCTTCACTGTACCAGTAGCTGCTAATATTTCTCAGTGAGAATTAGATTTCCATCAGTGACATGTTTACTGTCACTCGCTTTTATTTATGGCTTGAAGCTTCGTCAGCTGTACATGTGGCAGCAGGTGGATGTTGGTCACAGTTGAGTGTCGCTGTACATATTTTTCTTGACTCCCAGTCCATCTGCTGCTGCTGCAGCCCTAACCTCCACCCCAGCACCAGATGTGCCTGTCTCTTTGGGGAGCGTTACCTTTAGCACTGCCTTTGAACACTGATAGGATTAGGTATGTCAAGGCTTGGCATGGGTTTATTATAGGCTTCCTTGCTGTGCCGTCTAAACCAATCAGCTCTGAGTGCAGCCGAGATGAGAGAAGGAGGCTTTAGTCTGACACCTTTGTCCACACCCTTTTATGATGCATCCTTCTCACAAGAGGTGGAGTGCATTCACAGTGCACTGTCCCTTTGAAGACCTAACACAGCTTAAATGCATCCATTATAGCAAAAGAGTGACAGAAAATTGGATATTTTCTAAATAAAATCTTGAGTGTATACAGCAAACAAATGCACCTGACTGTCAAGTCATTACCATATTTTCCAGCAGACAGTGCTGTGAGGTCTCTCTGGATGCCTCCTGGTAATGTAACACTGTTGAGTTTTATTTGTGGTCTAGAAAGCCAGTGCAGGCAAGCTTTAAGCTTCATTAACCACTACTCAATAGCAATGATTGGAATTTCATATAAATTAACCAGACCTTCTTGAGAGCCTTCCTATTGGTTAGTGTTTGCAGCTTAATCAATTGAAAAGGAATGTGAGCAAAAAAGTGTAGAAAAGTGTTATATGACACAAATTGGAATTTAATTCAATCTATAATTGAATTACGGGCCTGGTTCATTGATCATCTGAAATAAATTGAGCCAAGAGACCTTTTTCAGATAATTAGAAAAATTAGACGATCATTTCGTGTTAATCTCTCGAAGGACAATGATTTCAGACTGGCCATACAGAGAGGTAGCAGCTCCCTGCTAGGAAATCAATAGATCTAGCAACAGATGAAGGAAGTCTATTAATCTTAATGACAATAATATAATTACTTGACCTGCAGTTTATCTTTGGGGCATAGAAACAAAAGACATGGTGGCGCTCACAGCATGTCAACTAAGCTTTAAAAAGGTTCAGCCTGGAGGACCATTGATTCTCATTTTTCAACAGTGTAAAACATAAAACTATGACCACTGTGATTTATGCCACCTGAATGTCACTGATAGTGTGGCATTGTACTTTACCCTGATATGCAGACTTTGAGTGGAATGAGTGAGATGGTGGATATTAGTAAAATGAAACTACTGGTCTTTGTGGAGTTGAGATTCATCTTCAGGTAAAGACAAGAGTGAACTGAGGTAATTAATTGTTAGAACTTCTACTGAGAACAGTGCCATAAGTGCAGTTGCTGCCATTAGCGTAGTAATATCTGGCTTCATGTCACAGGCGGAGACGTTAGTGGGATAATTATCTCCAACAACAATATCAATTATAGCATAAATATAGGCTTTCTCCCCAGGGCTCCATTATCACTGGGGTTTTCACACACTCCAGTTATACCCACACTGACTCACACCCCTCTGTGCTCTGCCGTATATACAGTGGCCATATCATTACATAAAGCAATTGCTATTATTATAATTTGGACTTGAGGTCACTCTTTATGATGGATGGATGTTAGTATTTTCCCTTCTGTCTTTGTGTTTCTCCTGAGACCAACGCTCAGTCTCAGCTCAACTAGCTCTACTGCTAGTTCATTCAAGAACACAGAGTAAAGCCATCCCTTAATTTTCTTGTGAATTGGACATTGATTCAACACGATCTCATCCACAATTATAATAATATTGTATAATACTTGCACTATTTGTATTATTATTGCAGAAACAGATCAAATGTTTAATGTTTTTTTTTTATAACCAAATACATCTAATTTTGTTTTCATGGTGTTTTCATGGTAGACCAAAGGATTTATTTATTATATTTCTGTCATTTCTAATCCACTCTTTAGTTGAGCAATGTTAAACTTATATTGAAATATTGTATTATTATTATTTTTCAGGGACATTTTATACAGAGATTGTGAGGATTGTGTAGAAAACAGAAATAATGCCTAGATTGCATGCAATCCTACAACTCAACCTATGGGGCCGTCTGTGACGTTTATGTATTTGCCGGCATTAAAAATAAAACTCAAATGCTTTGCTTTTGAGGAACTTAATCTTTTAAACCAAGGTTATATTCTGGTTGTTTGGATTAAAGCAGATCAGTCAGCTGGTGAAGAATAGATGTAATTGTTATCCTTTTTCTTCTTCTGCTCACACCATCCTTTGTTAAATGGAAATAGAATAGAACACTTCATTATTATATGTACTATTCTACACCCGCTCATAGTCAGTGAGACCTTTTAGTACTTCTTACTGATCAATATTGTGCTGCTTTTTTCTTGAATCAACACATAAAACTATGTTAAATTAATTTGTGAGAGTCACCGTTGCAATGGCATCTGACAAAAAAGAGAAAGTTTCTTCCAGATTTCAGGTCAAATGATCATGTTAAGACGTCTCTCATCTTCAGGTAGTGTTGAACGCCCTCCCCTCTGTCTCTGATTCCTCCCTCCTTTCTGACCCTGCACATTATCAGCCTGGGTGT